TAACTTATTCTTAGTTAGATGTTTCTTAATGATTAAAGAAGTGTCATTTCACAAGGCAAAATCAAGTAGTGTTAGACCAGGGTTGTCTAGCTTGTTCATACAATGATTAAATTCTCTATAAATATGAGTGATCATGAACTTCATATATATATATATATATATATATATATATATATATATATATATATATATATATATATATATATATATATATATATATATATATATATATATATATATATATATATATATCAACTATTATGCAACTTCCGTGGAACTATGAAAGGTGACTTAATGGCTAAGGTAACAAGCTTATAATCAGTTTTAATCCATAGGTAGTTTGAGCTTCTAATGTACTATTTCGGCCTGATTTATAAGCAAAACATATTAACTTTCACGTTTATTAAGAATAATAGTCAAATATATTTAATTTTTTTTTATTTTATATAAAAGAGACAATACAATTACTAATATACTCTTAATTAAATTATCATCTACTAATAACATTACGTAGTTATGCAAAAATAGTTTTGGAATAAAAACATTAAATGATCCTAAATTTATTGACATTTCCATATATTTAAGGCTAAGAAATTTAGAAAACATTTACTTATAAATAAGGCTGGAGAGAGTATGCACATTAAATATAATTGTAGATGTCAAAATTTGAAGCAAAACAACCTAGAATGTCTCCATAACTATTTCTAAAAATACATTCACAAGACGATAAGTCAGGCCTTGCCAAAGTTGTTGCATCACTGTTGTAGTTGATTGAGTTCAAGAATGGAGAATAACAAGTATATTCCAATATTCTAGGGGCTTTAGGATGATAAGTGTTGACTTTGAAAGCTTTTAGAGTCATGAACTAAAAAATGGAAGGACTCGTTGCTAGCTTTATGCAATTTCCTACAAGAGAAACTGAGGTTATCTTGGGAATGATTGAATTGTGTGTAAATTTCTGATATGAGAATCTAATGTCATTCATGGAACGCTAGCTAGTATTTAAGATGTTGATGGTTGCTTCATTGATAACTAATTAACACATTTCATCCCCTATTGCAGGTATCTAAGACTATCAAAAGTTTTATGTTTACAAATACAGATGTGAGTCATATGACATAGAATAGTTACTTATATAAGCTAGTTATCACTTATGATCCTAAGAGTTAAAGATTAATTGATAATGTTTTTTTAAAAGAAATGATATTGATATAATATCTGAGTGTCATTTTGACTTACTTTCATATGGTTTACTCTATCAATTTTTTATCCCAATAGAGATTGTTCATTTCTCCAACAATAGGTGGGTCAAAGTAAGAGTTAGTGACACAATTGTAACCATTCAAATGTGCATTTTAATGAAATAATTTTTTTTAATAAGTACCGGTAAAGATGAGAGGAGAAGGTGCATAAACCAAAGAAAGAAGCACACAAAAGAGAATGCAAGGATAGGCATGGAGAAAGACCTAGGTCTTAAACACATTCAACATTTGAACTTTAAATGGAAAGCCTAAAAAGAAATGCAAATCTCAACAAGCAACAAACAAGTTTATGACCTAAAAAGGAGTATCCAACAAGCTCAATATGTTGACAATATGAATCAAAAGGAGTTGAGAGCTCAAGGGATCCATAGAAGTCATTTCCCATCAAAACTAGGTCAAATGCATATATGAACCTCCCTTAGAAGTAACTTGACTTGCAAGTTACCTAAAAAATAGGAAAAATGCTCAATTAAATCCAAATAAAATCTCAAATGAACATAACAATGTAGGCAACCTGGGGCCAAAAGATCACAACCAAAGTCACTACAAAGCATCATCAAAGAATTTAATTCACAAGGATGCTCCGCTTTGAAGGAGGGTTGTCGAGGGTCAAAAGAAAAGACTCAAAAGTCAAACCAAAATGAACTAAACCAGGGCCAAAATCATCCTATAAGACTCTTCAATTCATCATTCACATGAGAAAAGAGTCTCAATCCTTGGAGATAAGAATTGATCAAGGAACAAGGCATGAAACAATAAGAACAAGGAAAGATTCAATTAAAAACATCTCCAAACATTTAATTCCTTTTTAATTGAAAAATAAACCAAAAACAAAAATATAAAATATAAAAAATTAATTAACAACCTAAGGTGTCTCAAAAATATTTTTGTGGAATTTTCCAATGTTTTGAGCTATTTTTAATAGAATTAAACCAAAACAGAAATGAAAATAAAAAGAAAATACAACGATTAGTAGAAACGGTGTGAATAGCAACAAAACAAGAACAAAACAATGGGCTCAGACTGGAGGGGGGTGCGCGTAACACCTAAGGCACAAGACCAAAACAAACTGAATCCAAAGTGAAACACGTCGTTTCACTAGTACGCGTGGCATGTCAACACACACGCTGGCTGGTCAGAATGATCCAAGTCGTTCATCCAACAAGTCAATGAGTCAAACACGCACACATGGCAAACACATCAGCTCCCCTAAAGAAAAAACCAGACGACAGAGCAACTGTTTTGATCATCTTCTCCGGCAAGGCAGCCGAAGTTGCAGGTTCCAAACTCTACCAAATTGCACCAAATTTTATACCAAAATGAAGAGGAACTCACGTAGATCACGGATCCAAGGTTGAAAATCATTTATCATGTATATAATGAGAGATTCGAATGATTTAAAAAATCACATGCTCAACTGAAATTTCATCAAGCATGACAAATAACTATCCAGATTTTGCCTACTAGTTGTAGGACTTCAGATGCAACAAGAATGTCATGGATCTAAGCTCTAACATGAGAGAATTTTGAGAAAGAAGAATACCTAACGGAGTCTCTCCGTTGGAGCTTCACACGATGCTTAGCTTGCTCAAAACTGTGCAGAATCCCTCTATAAAGTTCGAGGAAGATGTTTCTGGCTTTGATTTGGCTTAAATTTGCTTCAATCTCAATTCACGATTTCCAAGTTGCTCTTGAATTTTCAAACTGCAATTATGCTCTCCCTCCACAAGTTTGCATGAATGAAGGCTCAAACTTCATCTGGAGCTTTTATACAATGGATCTGGAATCAATCGGAGGCCTAATGAAGCCTTATTGGAGTGTAATTGGAAAATGCCCAAAATTGGAAAGTGGTTCATGCATACGTGAATTTGGCTCCAATTTCCCTTGAATTTGATTTGAATCAACAACTGGGAATGTGTATTGATCGTGTGGATTGGAATTTGTCCTTAATTTGATCCAATGGTGGAGATTTGAATTGAAACTTCTCTTTGAAGTAACCTTGATTTCCACGTGAATTTCACACCATACATCAAATCTTCTTGGTGCATTTTACTTGTTGGAGAATGTGAATCAAAATGAGTACAAATATAACATGAAAAGGTTCTAAAACCAATGTCATACCAAATGTCTCAACACGACTTCTCACACTCTTGATTCTTCTTGAATGGAACTTGAAATGACATATCAAATGTCTCAACACAACTTTTCATGATCACAATGACTTAGAGCTAAGTCTTAATCTCTTTCAAATCCACAGTGGACTTTGTACTAGGCAGATGAAACCCTAGGTGTACAATCCTTTGACTGCAACCTCTTGCAAATGAAATAACAACTTGAACAAGCTCCACAATTGCTCCCAAAGCACTCAATGAACTTCCACAACATTCCATATCCATATCTATGAGCTTGTGATCCTCAAATGATCTTCAATTGGTCTCCAAGATAGGAGATAAGCAACATTCATCAATCTTCTCTCTCAAAGAGCTTTGACCTTCTCTTGATGATGATAGGCACTTGATATCTTTAATGAGCACTCATGCTTGAGCTTGGAACTCTTGGAAACCTTCTTTAATATAGCACACCTCTCTTGATCCCCTGAAAAGAACAATGATATGCAACTACAAATGCTAGAAAGAATGAAAATGAAACATAAGCCAAGTAAAGAAAAGGTTGAGCAAATTTTGGGGTACAACACCCTTCTCCTTAAAAGTTCACAAACTTTTTCATTTCTATATTTTAGGATTAATTCAATTTTCAAAATTTTCTCTTAATTTTCATGTTTTACTCCTATTAGCTAATGGTTGCAAAATGTTGCTATGAAATTAGGTTTACTGAAGTTCTTTGCTTATTTTTTGATGATAAACTATGGTTCACAATCATCAACATGAGTCTTAGTGAGTGATGGATTGTATCAATATTGTGTGATGTGTAGGTTCTCCTGCGTCTTTCCACCTTTCTGCAACGTAAGAGGTTAGTTAAACCATGTTCATCGTGCCACTTTTGACCCCATCAACATCATCGTCCTTTCTTCCAACGACAACGTATTTAATTTCATCTCTTTTAATTTATATTACATTCGTGTTTTCATTTTCTCATTTTCTGATCATTTCTCTCTAGATCGTTCGTGCGAGCAACATCGTCGTTTTCTCGATTAAATCTTAATTAGTTATTTCATCGATTTCAACATTGTTTAGGAAAGAAGCATCATCGTTATTGACTAGCTTTGTTGTTGTTGTTGCAGTAAAGGAAGTTGTGTTGAAATTGAAGTCACTTTTAACTAAGGACAAACTTTTGGTTTATGATAATAAAACACTCTTTTTAACTAAGGACAATCTTATAATTTTTGTAGCGGAAGTTTAGCTTGTCGGTTGAAGCACAAGATTGGGTTGAGACCACTCTTAGAGATGCATGGAGAAGATATAAGCACAAAAATAAGAAGAATCATTTTTTGAAGTATTCCAACATGACCGAGAGACTAAAAAATCGTCCGTCAAAGGTGCCCATAGCTCAGTTTAAGAGTTTTTGTGATTATTGGAGTAAGGAAGCTATACAAGTAAGATTAATATTTTTTTATGTATGTCTTCACCTTTCTATGTATTCCATAATCAAGTAAGATTTATTAAAATAATTCCTCAAATTTAAATGTAGGCAATCAGTTAAACTAACACTAGAAATAGAGCTCAACTAAAGTGGATGCATCGAATGGGTCCCAAAAACTTTGCTTTGACACGTGAAAAAATGGTAACTTCCTTTCGTTCTTAATAAAGTATTTCTTGTATGAATGGTTATTTTCTCAATTAAAGTATTCCTTGGATGAATGGTTCTCTGAGCATTTTAATTCATGTGTTGTTTATGTAATAGAAATTTTAATTATAGGTTGTTTTTGTTATGGAATTGTTTTAACTTGTGCAGCGTGAAAAGGAAAAAAGAAAGCCCACTCAATCAGAAATGTTTGTTGAAACTCGAAAAGGAATTAAAGGAAAGGAGCTGGATGTAGAAACTGGAAAAGTAATTGTATGTAACATTGTTTATATAGTATGTTTACTTAATATAGTTGTCTTATATTCTATAATAGTAGTTAATATTTTCTTGTAATTTATACTAGTCCCAACTTCAAGAAATGACTGAAAAGGAGGAAAGCGATACAGAAGCTTTTAAAGTTTTTTGGAAAGGAGTGTCCTGGCCGGGTACGCTGTTATGGGAGAAATGTAACTAAAAATTCCTTATAGTGAAAGGCGGAGATTAATGCTTTGAAACAAGCACACAGTGAAGAGGTCTCTACATTAAGGCATGAGTTTCAAGATCAGATTGATAGATTGCAAAATGCTTTTAAGACCGTAATTCAACAATGCAATCCTCAAATTAATTTGGAGTCAATCGAAGGTTTATTAGGATTATCTCATGGAGATGCTAACAGTTTCCCAAATGCTATGAGACCGCAAATGCATCCTCTACATCAACTCATGCTCCATGTTATGGAAAGGTAACCATATATATCAATATTATTGATTTATGTTATTCTAATTGTGTTATAGTAAGTAAATAAATGGTAGTATAAAACTACAGTTTCTTTCTGCATTCAATAAGTAAATGCTTTTGTAATATATATATATATATATATATATATATATATATATATATATATATATATATATATATATATATATATATATATATATATATATATATATATATATATATATATATATATATATATATATATATATATATATATATATATATATATATATATATATATATATATATATATATATATATATATATATATATATATATATATATATATATATATATATATATATATATATATATATTAAGGCCAAAAAGTTTAGAAACATTTTGCTAATAAATAAAACCGAAGAGAGTTCAGATTATAACTTTATATATCCTCTCCAACAATCCCTTTTCATTATCTCTCTAAAACTAAAATCTATTTCTATCTTTCTATTTATTTTTCTCAATTTTTGTTCTTAATATCTTTTTCCCACCACACTAAATTTCATTGTTGGAGAACTGCAGTTTTGTGAAAGAGGAACGATACAGCCTCAACTCAAGTTTCACATTATGATTAGAACAGGTTTATGAAACATAAGTATTAACACTTATTGTAAGTGTTCTTGATTGGCTGCATTTTGTGGCATAAACACTAGAGCATGTATGTATGTCATGTCTGTTATTAGTGCATACATAATATGGTCTGTGCAGGGTAAGTTAACTTAGCTAAAAGCAAGTTATGCTGAATGTCATACCCAATATTGTGACATGGGTCGTATGACATCAAGTGCAGGTTTGCTTTTCTGGTAGCTAGAAACCAGGAAACAGAAGAGGAGCTCAAGCTGGAAATCAGGAGACTTTATAGAAGCCCTAGGCGAGCTAAAAGGAACCTGAATTAATAGGCAAGTATGCAGATCATTAAAATTAGGTTTGTTATGAATAAAACCTAATTTATGCACCAAGGGCCAAAGGACTGACAGCTGCTATATATATATATATATCAGAAGAAGCCATTCTAAACAGCAGCTCTTGACAGAAGAATAGAGAGTGCAAATCAGAGAGTCCTTGTGAGTGAAGAATGCTAGTCTTCACATGTGAATTCTGCTTAGGAATACTTGTACTCCAAGCAATTGTCTGGTGGATGATTGCATTGGATAGGTAGATTATAGGGTTTGTCTCACTCGAAGCTGTTAAGCAAGAGTGTGTGAGTTCCTTGATCAAAGCTGTGAAGCAAGATCGAGGTGTGTATGAAGTGCTTTTTCATATTTACTTTGTAATTGTGTATTGATATCACTGTGGTGTAATTGAGGGGGTGTGAGTGGGTATACTCAGCTTGCCTGCTGACAAAGACAAATCTGAGGAGAAAGTCAGTAAAGTACAGTGCCATGAATGTGAAGGATATGGACATATCAGAAAGGAATGTCCCACATACCTCAAGAAGAAGGGAAAAGGCCTGACTGTCACATGGACTGATTCTGACACTGAATCAGAAGAAGAGTCAGCCAAGCATGTCACTGCTCTTAACAGTGTGTGTATTTCTGATGGTGACCCAAGTGAAGAGGAACTGACTTTTGAGGAACTTACAGCCTCATATCAAAAGCTTAACATCAGGAGTACTGAACTGTACTAACAAGGAGAGCTTTAGAAGGAAGTCATCAAGGGGTTAGAAGCTGAAAAGAAAGAGCATCTAGCCACTATAAACTCACTCCAAGGGGAGGTAAATTAGTTGAAAGGTGAAAAGGAGCAAATGACAAAATCCATAAGGATGCTCAACTCTGGGACTGACACCCTAGAGGAAATCCTTCAGAGTAGTCAGACATCAGGAGACAAATCTGGTCTAGGATTTGTTAGGAAACAAAATCCTATCTTGAAACTCAATAGGTTGCAGCCTGACCTTCAAAAGCTAAAAAGGATGTCACGACCAAAGTCACAACATCCTCCACACAAAAATTGGAATCAAGTCAAGAGACAATTCCAAGGGAACAGATGCTACCACTGTGGAAAACTTGGGCATATAAAAGTTGTGTGTTTCTGGCTGCATGGATTTCCTTGCCAAAGCAAGACCAAACAAGGTAAGCATGGAAAAATGCAGCATCATGCTACACATGGAAAAAGGCAGCATCATGCCAAGCCTGGCAAGAGGCAGCTTCAGGCTAAGAAGGAAGTGCATAACAAGCAAAATCAATGGATTGCCAAGACTGTTGCACTAGCAGTTCACACTTCTCCAAGGATGTCTACCAATGAAGATTGGTACTTTGACAGTGGCTGCTCCAGGCATATGACTGGAATTGAGGATCTGTTGATCAAACTCAAACCTCATTCATATAGTCATGTAACCTTTAGTGATGGAGCTAGAGGAGAAATCACAGGTGCTGGACAGCTTGACAGTCCTAAAGCTCCAAAATTGAAAGATGTCCTGCTGGTTAAGGGACTGACTGTAAACTTAATAAGTATCAGTCAGCTTTGTGATCAAGGCTTAAAGGTCCAATTTACCAAGGATGATTGTGGGGTCACAAATCAAGAAGGGGAAGAAATCATGAAGGGGTCCAGAGCAAAGAATAATTGCTACTTGTGGGAGCCCAGAAGTAACCTCAATAACCTGGAGAAAGAAAAAACTAAGGACAAATTATGGCTGGAGAAAGACAGACAAAATAGAAGGTTCAACACATCAGCAAGAAGATCTCCAAAATATGCTTCAGAAAGAAGGACAGGATGTAAGAAACTTCATGCAGGGAAGCAAGCCAAGAAGGGATACCCAATTAGTAGTCTTCAGGGAAAGTTAGATAGGCTATATTGGAATCTGATGGAGTCCATGGATGCTACCCTGCCTAAAGGAAGCGATGTTACTCCAGATGTCATGACTTTGTTCGGTGACATCTAGCGCACTATTCAACCAAGTCCAGGTGAGGTCAAGGGAGGCATGCTCAGAGGCAGCCCGTGTAAATGGATTCAGGCAGTAAATAGGGATGAACTTGGTGCAAGAAGTGTCAAGGACCATAAATTTAAAAATAATTTACAAAAATTGAGGTCCTTAAGTAATGGTGAGTTATAGCAATTAATGAGAATATGGAACTATGACTTAAAATTCAAAGATTTTCTGATTAGTCAATACATTAAGTTCCCTCCTCATTTGCCATACCTTTCATTGAGCCCCTATACATCAAACTCCCACACCACTTGGGTAACAATTAAACTGTTCATCTTTCCAACAGTCTCAAACAAAAGAACACTCCTTTGCTCTTAGTCAACGTCTCCAACAATGTCACAACAATCAAAATCGTCCCCATCCAAATGCATGTCCAAGAAAGCCGAGGATTCAAACCCTAACGAGGTGCTAGAAGTAGCTCCATTGCGCATGGTAACACCGGACGGACTATTGATGAATGAACCCAGCAAACCCCATGCAAAAAGACCAAATGACCGTGACACCGGTCAAGCTCCTACCTCTGCTGCATCTGATGATCGCAACAACGCAGAAGTTAGACGAAACCATCTAGCCATTGCTGAAATAGTCGCCAATGCACTCAACATACCCACGACTTCGAACTTGAAGGGGTCTGTTCCTAAACTGCATGATCAAGAAAATGTCTCAACATCAAAGGACCATGCACCAAAAGGAAGGAACAAGGGTGAAAAAGGTAAACAAAAGGGTGAAAGTATGCAAGGCACCACAGATACTAATGTGGTGGACCTAGCCAACTATTCTGACAATGATCCCATAGTCAAACTCAATCCAGGCATAGCCAAAAGGCTGATGACACGAAAAGGGAAAAAGGTAGCTGATCAAATTCCCCCCAAGAAGAAAGATGGTGAGAAGAGTATTGAGCAAGAAGCTTTCACAAAGAAGGCTGGAACAAAGAGGGCTCATGTTGGACCCCCTAGAGGCTGGAGCAAAGTTACCACAAAGAAGAAGAGGGTTGAACCAAGCTCAGAATCAAACTTTGATGTTCCTGTTAATGTCAATGACATCCAAACCAAGAAAAAGCCTTCCACAAGCAAACTGGCTGAAAGGATTTCTGACGTACCAATTGATAACATTTCATTCCATTATGCATCGGGTGTTATCAGATGGAAATACGTGTATCACAAGAGGGTGGCCCTAGAGAGAGAGAGCTTGCTCAGAATGCTCTTGAAAACAAAGAAATCATGGCCCTCATCAGAGATGTTGGCTTGGTGAGAACTGTGACTCAGTTCCCCCAATATTATGAAACATTGGTAAAAGAATTCATAGTCAATCTATCAGGTGCATGTGCTGACAGTGAATCCAGTGAGTTTGGCAAAGTATCTGTAAGAGGTGAATGTATCAACTTTACAGCAGCTATCATCAACAAGTACTTGGGGAGACCTAATGAAGGCTTGACTGATATAAAAGTCTCAAACCATCAAGTGTGTCAGGAAATAACTGCTAAACAGGTCAAGAAGTGGCCTAACAAAGGGAAGCTTGTAACAAGCAAACTAAGTGTTAAATATGGTGTGCTTCACAAAATTGGTGCTACAAATTGGGTGCCCACCAATCATAAGACAACAGTGGCAACCATTCTTGGAAGGTTCATGTATGATGTAGGAACTAAGGCTAAGCTCAATTATGGAACATACATTTATGAACAAACCATGAAGCATGCTGGTAGCTACAGTATTAAGGGCCCTATTGCTTTCCCCTCTCTCATCTGTGACCAACATCCCAACATTCTAAAGAAGAAT